AGCTGTGAGTGTAAGTGTACGGGTCGATGTATGGGTATTACGTAATGCGATAAGTATGCGTGTGGGTGCGGGAAAGTCGCGGATTTGTGTGTATTTTTTATGAACTTAAAACTGTATTAAATTTCCGTTTGTCTATTACATAAGGTAAAAACGAATTGTAAAAAAAAGATGTAAACGAAAGTTGACGAAATAATGTGTGTACTTAAAATTTAGGTGATGGTGTGGGTAGATGGCGAGTTGTACACATAATGCGATAAGTGTGCGGACGGGGGGGGGGGTGAGGGAAAAGTCACGTAGTTGTGTGTATTTATTATAAACGTTACTATATTATATTATTTCCATATTATATTATATGAAGGTTAGATAAATGCGATAAGTATGCCTGGGGATGCGGGAAAGTCTCGAAGTCGTGCGTATTTAACTGTATTAAATTATGTCCGTATATATAAAACATCAAAAGTCTTTAAAAATAGGCTAATTTAAACGAGTTTAAAGAACCCACATAAATAGAAGTGTCACGCTTAAAATATAGATCGATATTTTAGTATCTAAGAGAGTATGTTTGATAATATAGGTACCAGAGATACTTATGTCCATACTATTTGTTTGATCACATTTATACATCAGGAGGTTATTTTGTTTTACATAGGGGTAAAAAGTTATTTCATTTTCATGCGTGTATAAAGGGGGTGGGTTATAGAGCGATGATAATTTCGACGTTTATCGCAAAATATGGAAAATTTAGGTGGGGTGAATTGGTAAGGTTAACATCATGGGGTGATATTTTAAAATGAAGAATTTTAATATAATCTACACAAAAGACCGCTCCTATACACATGCGACTATATTTTTTTCAAAATCTATTTAAAGCTTTACTTACCAAATGGGTGTAGGCGGCTGCGAGTATCCGTACCACATTATCCTCTTGTATCCAAAGGTAATTGAAACATATGTATTATTTAGTATGTCCTATGTGTTTAAACATAAACACACACGGAAAAGAAGATGTGAGTCCGAATAACTTTAATTCAATTCATTTGAACGCTAACACTGATTACCTCAATGAAAGAAATGGCCAAGATGAATTACTTAAAATGCCCAAATAATATTCATTTAAGAGCACGAACTTTTATCACAGCACTTAAACAAAATATCCGGAAAACAGGGTCCAGCGTATACAATCATGTGGTTTTAAATTAAGCCATATGATTGGTCACTATAAAAAAAAAACAATCTTTAAAATGAAGGCACTATTAGTTATATTTAAAACCAATGGATAGTTCGTTTTTTCTCAATATGGGTGGAGCTTCCAATTTTGACTGAAATAGTAGAACCCGATCGCAAAATTAGCCCGCGCATTACCTGTTTAACACAAGTCCAATTGGTCGCCTTTCATCTTCGCACCTTTTTCGTCATACAACCCCTCCCCCCCCCCCCCCCCGTTACGCACAGAGGGCACCTTTTAACAAATCTTGCTAGACGCTTGTCTCTGACTTACATAACATTCGTCTGATACGCTTCAGCAGGTTACACGCTTGGTTTTTGAATCTTGAGTTCAAGGACAGGTCCGGGTAGGGGTTGGGAAAAGAAGGGAGTGGGGATTATCTTACTTAACGAGATACTGATAGTGTTTTAAAACAAATATATTCAGTGGCAGCATTGGTACAGTCGAATTCACAAATTATAAATTACTGAAATGTAGAAAATAAAACAACTAAATAGCGGGTCGGCTCGTATAATGTCTCTTCGTAGAGACATTAAAAAACATCACGCAGCTTAGCCACCACCGTCATCCCCACCTGTCAGGTGAGCTGTGGTTCACCCCGAATAATTAAAATAGAAGTGACGGCTATAAGGGGCAGATAAATCAGTTTAGTTTTCCAAACATAGAACTCTAACCCCCACCCCCCTCCCTCTTTTCTTTACTATACGATCGAATTTGAAAAGAACATGGGAGGAAGGTCAAGGGGTGGGGGGGGGAGGGGGGGCTAGGCGTACGTAGGAAGGTTTTGAAAAAGTAATTCAGCACAAATTGAGGCTGGTATGTCGTTGTATATTAATCTAACCAGGTTGGCGGCCCACCTTTAGTGTAAAATAAACACGTGGGAAGCTGACCACACTATCTGTGGTCATTTAAACCAGGGGTCTCCAAACTACGGCCCGCGGGCCAGATGCGGCCCGCGAGGTCCTCTCATCCGGCCCGCGGACATCTTTTTGTCCACTGAGAAAACGTTTGTTGGTGATGGCTGAGGAACTTTGCCCAGAAAAATCAAAGACATGCCTCGAAGAAAATGGCCCCCGAACTGAAATTTGATGGGTAATTCGGCCCTCGGACTAAAAAGTTTGGAGACCCCTGATTTAAACGATTGTAGAAAAAAAAAGTCACAGGAAAAAAGTCACAAACATATATTTGAATGGAATTTGTTAATTTTTTTTCTGAATTAAATATTCAGAGAGTGCATATTAACTTAGGATTAATAAAATGCAATTTAATATGTGT